TATAGTCTTAGGTGCTAGCTAAATACTCCAGGTAGAAGAGCAAACCCTGCTGTACACTAATAAATATTAATAGCAGTAAAAAGGATTTATTTCTGGCTACTGTACCTCAGTTTCAAATACAGACTGAGTAAAAGGCAGCAACATAACACAGTGATGTTTGATATTCTTTTGGTTTTGACATTTAGCAATATGTCATGCTACAGTAGACACAGTAATTGCATTACAACTCTCTGAAAGGAAAAGCAGGAACTGGAGACATTAAAAATAAGGCAAAAAATGTCTCATAGAACCTCTGAGACAACAGAGGCAAATTACCCAGCCCCACAGCACAACTTTATTGACCTATTCCAGCAGCAAGAAGACATTAAAGATTTGCAATTTCCTTTCTTTATAATGGGAGATAGATGTGTGTGTTGTAGTTTCTGAGCTGCAACTTTATTAGGCACCCTATGTTCTGGGTTCATGCTGAAAATAATCAAGGTGCAGGGAAGCTAAATCTTCTCTGGAGTTGCAATCTGTTTGTGGTGTTAGCTTTGAGATGGGATCCTGCTAATCCTTTCACTGAAGACCCATGCCCCTTTACTGTGTATGGTATAAGTTCTCCAAAATGGAGAGATCATGCGCTGTGTCAAAAGCTGTTTCTGCTTTGCAAAAGTAAAGGAAACAAATATTCATACAGAGCTGATCTTTTATTCACTCCCTCACTCTGTTGTAGAGAAGCTCATTCTGATATTGCCTAATGGGCTTCATTGTGCTGGTGTCCATGCTGGGAAATCAGTAGGGTTTGCATTGAAGAGACTGTGGCAGTCACAGAATAAATTTGGGGCAAACTCCAGCCACAAAATTTATCTCCTTTGAGATAGCTTGTTTTGCTAATGGCCCAAGAGCACTAGAGGTGTTTGCTAGCCTTCCTTGAGTGAGAGTGTGTGCAAGGAACAAGCAGATGCTGGGGCTCTAATAGATTTAAACAGAGCCAAACAGTCCCTTAAAATTCCACAAAAAGTTTTTACACTTTTCAGGGTGTGCTGCTGCACTGAGATCCTTTAGTTCCTGTGCTTCCAAATTCAGTGAAAAGCTGAAAACAGGGTTACTGGTTTCGGTGCTGTGATGCCAGGGAAGGTAAAGAGTGGAGGACTGCACCTCCTCACACCGACACCCACCTTTGGACCTATAGTTTAAAGCATAGCAGGATAAAAAAAAGGAAGGACTGCTTGGTTTCAATAGGCTTTTGCAGAGGGCTGCTGTCTAATAAAATATGGATGCTAGAAATCTTTAAGTCTTACTGGCATCACCAAGAGCTGAGTGTTCCTGAGCAAGAGAACAATCCCTAACCTATACTGGTGCATAGGGTTATGCCTCCCCAGGTGCAGGACCTTACACTTGCCTTTGTTGTACTTCATTAGGTTCCTTTCTGCCCAGCTCTCCAGCCTGTCCAGGTCACACTGAATGGCAGCACAGCCTTCTGGAGTGTCAGCCACTCCCCTCAGCTTTTTATCATCAGCCGACTTGCTGAGGACACACTGTCCCTTCATCCAGATCATTGATGAATATATTGAACAAGACTGGACCCAGTACAGACCCCTGGGGAGCACTGCTAGCTACAGGCCTCCAACTAGGCTCTGCGCTGCTGACCACAGCCCTCTGAGCTCTGCCATTCAGCCAATTCTCAATCCACCTCGCTGTCCACTCATCTAACCCACACTTCCTAAGCTTACCTGTGAGGATGTTATGAGAGACAGTGTCAAAAGCCTTGCCGAAGCTGAGGCAGACAACATACACTGATCTCTCCTCATCTAACCAGCCAGTCATGCTGTCATAGAAGGTTACCAGATTAGTCAAACATAATTTCCCCTTGGCAAATGCATGTTGACCACTCCTGATAACCCTCTTTTCATCCACATGCTTAAGATGACATCCAGGGTGAGCTGTTCCATCACGTTTCCAGGGATGGAGGTATGGCTGGCTGGCCTGTAGTTTCCTGATGGATGGTAATATTTTGTTGCTGTTGCACTAATAGGGCCCTTGAACTGCCACAGATGTATAGTTTAAATGATATAGAAGATTATGTGAAAATACTGAAAACGTTTAATGTTGACTACTGGTGAGACAGAGTATGAAGTGAGGAATAATGACTTTTTTGTAATCAGTTATGATATAACTGGACAATATTGACAAGACCAAAGTCACACAGGTGACTTTCTAATCATACCAACTTCTCAGAAAAGAGATATTACTTCTTCCTACAAATTTTGACTCACTAACCACCTCAGACTGATAGATCCACAACAGTAACACAGTTGCTAGAGACTTATAAAGACTCCTCAGTACTGTAAAAAGAAGTAGAAGGTAAAAAATAAATGTCATTTTTCTTCCTCTTCCAATAGATCTATGAAGAGAAATCTGAGGAATTCCTCCTTTTTGGGACATTTTTTGAAGCCACGATGATTGATAGGAAGGTTGGGGACAAGCCAATAACCTTTGAGGTGTCTGTTGGTAAGTGGTTTAAGGTATTGTCCAAAGCAGAGAGGGAGTCTCAGGAGCGAGGGGATGCTACATGTTATTGACAGCTCTGTTTCAGGGCTCAGAAGTCAGCTTCAGAGCAGGGCTTACACGTTTGAATTAAACCCTGACCATCATTTCTGTAGGTGACAGTCAAGCTGGGCAGACTGCACCTAGCTGTCTCTACTGCTGGATGCCCTCTCATCCAATATAATACAAACCCTCTCACCCAATATATACAGCAACTCACCCAGCATTTACCCTCCTAATCTCTTGGGACACCCAACTCAAATAATTTACCTCAGGACAGAGTTCATTCTGTGGTGTCCATTGCAACTAGTCCTTGGCCCCTTTGGAGGGAGGACCCATGTGGACCCTCTTGGCCAACTCTGTTGAGATACATGGGGGTCTGTGAGTGTGGCAGGGGGGTGATGTACAGCCAAGCCTCAAAATGCATGTACCAGCTTGTGCTAGATCCTCTTGGTAAAGGCTGTCCTTCTTCTGAGTAAAGCAGGACTGTACTGCGTGAGGGACCTCTTCATGGTGGAGCTGAATTTGCCCCAGGAGCAGAATAAAGCGACAATGAAGACATTTTAGTGAACATAGACTGGATATTATCAAAGCAGAAGAAATTTTCCTTAAGAGAGATATTTGAATTGGTCTCATTTCCCTTGCAGGAGTTTGCTTATCTCTGTACTGGCCTCACTTGGAGTCCAAGTGCACAGTAACACCCAGCACTTCCTATATTTTTGTGCTTGTGTACCTGAGTGTGCTCAACAGTAAAGCTAAGTGTGCAGGGAGGGATGTCTGTGACTAACAAGGCAATTCCATAAATTATATTGATTCCTCATGAAACTTAGCAGGAAGCAGAGCTGGGAGTGACAAGAAACTTATTTGTATAGCTGGGCAAGAGATAATACTGATTCTTGTCGGAATTAATACTGAAGATGAATTTGGCTTTGAATTCTGAACCTGTACATTTACCAGCTACCTGCACAGTTGAAATTTGGACCCAAATTTGGTAAATCACCATTATTTACAAGAAAGGCTGAACCAAAATTCCAGATCAGAATGTTGTATGAGGTGATTCAGCACATCCTTGTGCAGGGATTGTTTTCTGCCTATCTCTTATAAAATCTGCAGTTACCAGGCTGATGGATGCACCTGTTTCTGAGTGCTAATAATTGCCCTTTAAGGCAAAATCCTATCAGAGAAGATGGCTGTATCATTAGCAGAGTAGTCTGTCATCAGGCTTGAAGCTAAGGCCTCAAAACATTGTTATTACTACCTCTGTAACCCTACTATGCAAATTTTCCTTGTCTGAAAACAAGCTTTAGCACTTCTGAAATCAGACTTTGAAATGATCATCCATATGTTGTAAAAAGGACATACATTTACTATGTAAATCAAATGCATATTGGGACTCCTGAGTCTAGAAATATCACCAGCAGTATTGGTTTTACTTCTGAATTTCTTTAGCAAAAGAGGAAGGTCCTGGGGGCCAGGAACCAGAGGATCACATCACATAATGCTGGGGGTAGTATACCAGGCATTTATTGCATATGGCAGGTAAGAAAGCTGTCCTGGAGTCTAAAAATTCACTGGGACTGACATACCTTGTCAAGACTTTTATAAACTGTGGTATGGCCAGAACAGCTAATGAATAGGAGAGGGCAAAGACTTTCCACTGGCATGACTCATCTTTCTCTTTTTTGAAACCTTATTCAGGTTTACCATCCCCAAGCTAGACATCTCTTCACTTGTAATCCTGTGTCTCTAGGTAACTTTGGAAATGTTACTGATGGGGTGTCAGCAGGAGCTGGAGGGAAAAAGAGGACATGTGATGAAGAAGCAGAAGAAGGTCTGCTGCATGAGGGGGAGGATGAAATTTCTCATGACCTTGGAGTACCCCTGATATCCACCACACACCCCGAGAAGCCACTAATCACAAGTGGGAACAGGTAAGGATCTGCACTTCAAAACATTATCATGTAGGACTCTGGTTCCTATTTTCTAATCCTGCAGGATGCATTAGTGAACCCTGGCAGCATTAAACAGGTTGTGTGGAATTCAGGCTTTCATAAGAGGATGTTGACCATCCTCAGTCACATCTTTCACAGCAGTGAATTTTGCAAGCTCCACTGAAGTGAATGGACTCTGAGCCATTTCACACTCTTCTTCCAATCTTTGCCTAATGGGCTCTTGAGCTGTTGTTCATAAAAGAGCTACGTTATACCAACTATACATTGGAAAGCTATAGAAAAGTGCAACTCCTTCAGTGCTATCAGTGGTTTAGGGTTCCATACCTTGACCACAGGTAACATCCACCCATTCACCAGCTTCAGAAGCAGAACAACACATCAAAAATATTGAAATCTGATCAAGACAAAGTCAGCTTCCCAGAAAACTTTCCAGAGATGATAATTATAGATGTAGACTTAAATAACAAGAAGAAGGAGGAAATAGTCCTTGAAAAAAAGAATAGAGCAATGAATGAAAACATGCAGAACTGTTCTTCTAAATGGCCTTGTTTATAAACAGAAGTGCAAGGGTTTAATTAATTTCAAAGATGTTAATAAAAAGAATTACTTTGTTGCTTTGGTAGGTAGAACAATCCCTGATATTGCTGAGTGCCAATGCTAGATGGTACCTCTTTCTTTAGAAGACCAGGCACTGCCAAGCAGTTTACATATATAAGTACCAGGTGGGAAATTTCAACCTGGATCTGTTTGGTTTCTGGACCTCCCTAAAGTAAAAAAGGACTTTCATTCTTTCGTGCAATCAATGGCTCAGTCAGATTAAATAAGAGTTAGTGAAAGAAAACAAGAATGAAAATACCATGGTACAAATTTGTGTTTCTTCAAAAAAGAAAAAGAAGTCGGGGGGGGAATAATGTTTGACAGAAAGATAGTTGTGTCTACTCATTAGCAGGACCACAGATTTGGGTACATGCTGGGTTATTATCCTCCTTGGGAGACTATGGGATTTTTTAGTTTTTCCCTTAACAAGAATTTAGATTTAAAGAACCATTGTAAAAGAATGAATCATCCTTTGAATCTGCTGTTTGCTTCTTGACTCACTCCAATATTAACAAAGTTTTCTCTCATTAAGGCTCCCTCTTCCTCAAATTTGTGTAAAATCCTGCGTCTTTTTTTCCCTCCAGTACTATCTGAAACAGTTTGGGCAGACACAGATAACAACTAATGACTTACAACTGTCATCTCATATTGGCATCTCACCAGTCTCATCACTGGATATTTTTAGTATTAATCAGTACTTAATGGGATATCCAGTAGTTTAGATAAACTCTGCATTTTGGAATCATAAATAAACAATAGGAAACAGTAGCAAGAGTCCATTTTAGAGATGAAAACCACTAATTAAAGTAGTAGGCAGAGCAATAAGACTTCTAAAGCAGACACCATGAAATTGCCAGGAATTTTCCACATTTACATCAAAGTGTATAGCAAGGGTAAGCTAACACTGAAAAAGTTGTTCCCTCAAATTCTCATATAGGGAACAACAGACGTGAAAGTTCAATCTTCTGTGTGTGTTATTTCATGGCTATATAATTTTATTAGTAAATCCCATGAAAAGACTCGAGCTCTATGAATTTCAGGTTAAGACGTTCTGGCATTGGGAAATAGTTGAATTGTTCTTCCCTTTTATGAAACCACCAAAATTAATGGTTGCCCAAGTTCTGTATGACTCTGCTATGCACTGAATCCAATGGCTATTGCTCACCTTGCTGTAGGTCAGTGAGGAGAAGGTAGGTGGGAAATTCTGTTTGTCTTTTAATATTCCATAGGGCAGTAAATGGAGTTGTAGAGAAGATCTTAATCTTTTTAAACAGAAAAATTCTCATGTAAATCTGCAAGGAATATGTGGAAGTTAGGAATTAAGGATAAGACACTCAGGAGCGACAAGTGATTTAGTTTCTGTTGGCTTGTACCCTGTTCTATATGAAACAACTTAGGGTATATTTGAGGCATCTTTACAAGCAACCATGAGAGACCCAGCCTCTTCTGGGGCCACAGGTGGATGCCCATGCTTAGGCAACTTGACCTGTTTGGGCTCTGGATTTCAGGAGTATCTTCAGATAGACCTTGAAATGGAACAAATCAAGTCTTCTCTCCATACCAAGTGCACTCCCCTTTCTTGGATACCTCAGCCTCTCCCACAGGAAAGGAAACGGAAAATGCAACCATTTTTTTCTGCCAGTTGAACATCATGAAAAGCTGGAGGCTTGGGTAGTTTTATTTCTTATTATTTGCAGCTTCTGTGTAGAAATACAGAAGGGTCAAAAGGTGAGTATACACCAGAAAACAGCTCTCTGGTGCAGCCTTGTCTCAGCTGCAGAGCACATATTGGTGGTGTTGGGTTGGAGACATTTACATAAGAACATAAAGCAGTTTGTAGAACTTCACATCCATTAAAACACTCTCCATTGTCCCACCATTAGTAAGGAAAATGATGAGGCCTCTCTTGTTAAATCCAGTATGGCTGAGCATGGTGTTTCATGGGAGTATAATATGTCTATAAAGGGAGGACAACATGCTTACCAGGTACATGGTTTTGACATAGTGCCTACCACAACTCTAACCCAAACATCAGGCTTTGGAGCAGGTGTGTGTTAAAGTCTGCAGAGGCTCTGGTTATGCTGGCATCTTGCTCATTTTTTTTAGTACAAGACAATCACTCATACAGCTGAACACCCAAAGCAAGCAGCGTTACAAAAAGAGTCAACATGACAGCTTGGACCTAAAATAGACCAGGAGATGCATTTTATCATTGAGTTATTATGAGTTTGGTATCACTTTTACTAAGTAGGGTCCTGCAGATCAGCTTCTGCCAGGAAATGTCAATCTCCACTAGGTACTGCTACTGAAAAAAAGCACCCTATGAAAGTGATGTGATGGTGAGACGCTGCTATGCCTCTCCTGCTGTGCAGTGTGCAGAGCCATTGCTCTTGAAGAGGTGATCAGATTTTAATCTTTGTTACTTTTTCCCTTGTTACTTCCCAGCATTTACAGTATTTCAGTGCTTCTCTGATGACTCTTGTCTGGCTTTTCTTCCACCCTGGAAAGCACTGAAATTACATCCATTGACTTCAAGATTTTTCTCTTCAGGGATCTCACAGGTAGCATAAGAGATGCTTGTGTTTGTTCTTCCCAGTATTTACTGGTTAGCACATGTGAACACATCCTGTCATGTCTTCAGTTTCTGTGCTGTAGTGTAGCACCAGTTTTTCTTTTTTGCACCTCCTCTGAACTCCTCTCTCGCTCTTATGATCTGCTTCATACTTCCTTCTCACAGGAACTACCAATACCTGCCATATGATGAGAGGAAGCCCTGTATCTGCGTCAAGAGCTACTGGGGCAACCAGACCTTTCGGCTGTACTCTTCCAACACTCTTGAGAAAATGGCAGATCACCTGGTAAGTGGCATCCACCCTCCCAGGCTCACGTATTCAACAGAGGATGGCAGTGAGAAGTCACATTCCCTGAAAATGGCCTTCAAAATTCCCCCCAGATGCATTCCTTGCTGTTCATTTTGTGAAAGAGTAGGTGATATCAGCCCCTCCTCTTTTTTTTTTTCCCCAAATTGCATTGGTCTGTTAGAGCTAGTCAAGTATTCCTGTCCACAATTTTTTTTCAGCCATAGGGCTGTTTTCTTTCCTCAGAAGTGTTTTGTTCTTTGCAAGAACAGTAAAACAACTAAAATATGGATATACAATAACTCCATCTCCTATGGCTCCTCCTCTCATGTCTTCTTGCCAGCCCACATAGTTTGACCTATGTTTATGCTGGAAGCTCTTTAAAGGACATTTTTTTGCTTCTAGTTTTCCTAAAAATATGGATAGAGACAAAATGGCATATAATCTCATTGTGATGTCATTGTGATGCTCTAGTCAGTGTCTTCCAATAATATTTTTCTACACTTGTTTAACCTTGACACTGTCCACAGTGTCAAGAAAGTAGTAATTTTTTTTTAAGTTACTTCTGCTGTTGAATATTTTAATTTGGGACACTCAGATTCAGAGTCTTATTCACCCCTCATTTTTGCTTATATACCTCTTGAATGACAACACTGAAGTCACACTGATGCAATGTTTTATCATGAGAAGACAGTGGCTTATAGGGCAATATTTTCAAACTCAGGTATTTGAAAAGTAAGTATCTGCATATATACATAGAAAGATGTCAGGTTACAAGGTCACCTCTCTCATTCTTGCCAGTCATACAGTGAATCATGGTGGTGTAACGCTGGCAGAACAACAAAGTGCCCTTCTTTACATAACGGCTTTTTCATGTATTTTTTGTAGGAAGAATCATTAGAGCAAGTAAAGGATTTAATCAAGGTTTCAATGATTGCATCTGAGGAGAAAATGAGGACAACACTAAATGATTTTATCAACCAAAGCAGGTAACAACATTTACTAGAAGCATATAGAAAAACAACTTTATATGTTGGCTACAGATTTGAGACTAGACAAAGAAACTGAAGATACTAAAAATGTACAGTAAACTTAGTGAGATTTATATTTTTAAATTCTGCTTTAAAAGAAAAACCTTCCCAAATTGCAGTTTCTATTTACATAAAGTATTTTATTGTTATTTTCAATATTCAAGATTGACAGTAGACTTCTGCCAATCATTGCCATATTATTTTGGCTTTCTACACTCTAAGATTTGAACATATGTAGGAATAAGTAGGATTTAATAAAGTGTGTAATGGACATACTTAGTGTGTCATAGTACATAGTTAAGATAAAAACAGAGGATTCCACATGCTGGTATAAATCACTTAGTGGGCTCTGTATCAGATGACATGGTTGGGCTCAAAAGAGATATAAACCCTAATATATAGATATTAACCCTCTTTCTTTGAAATGTGCAGGTTTTGGACTCTATTCTTTGAATCTTACGGATACTCAATATTTATTTTAGAGAATATCAGCATCTCTATCTTCTGCTTCATGTACTGCAGCAGAGAACATTTCATTTGAATGCATTTTAGCAGCTCACATTAAAAATGTTATTCTTTTGTCCTAGGGCCTTCATTACCATTGCTGAAAAGAAGCCCAAAGGGTTGAACTACACTGCTTTGGACAAAAAGAGACTCATGTTGTTCAAGCAAGAGCTCGTATGTGTGTTTTTTTCTTTAGATATTGATGCAATGATGGTAACTGAAAGCATGCTGGTTGCATACATATTAATTTCTGTTTGATTTCACCATACCATATGAATATAGTATCCAAGAGCACCTTTTTAATACACCCAGCTGTGCTTAATATAGAGTTTTAAGATACCCTAACATAACTCAAAACATGATGTTTTTAAATACAAATAAGACATTATAATAATGAGCTGATTTTTCTTTTCCATGCATCTTAAAATGGATGATGCTGAGTTCAGTGGAAAAACACCAAATTAATGCTGCTGTTAAGTGGGGCTAATTAATATGGTGGGACTGAACTTCAAGACTAGTAGAGCCTGGCATTCTGTATTCTTCGATGTAGTCACCTCCTCCAGGGAACCAGTGAGAAGAAACCAAGCTGGGTGCAGGTTGTCTGAATGTTAATTAGCTTTATTTACTATTTGTAGCACAGACTTTGGTTGTGACTTCTGTCAGGACCAAGAACCAAGAATTCTATGTGGTAAACACACATTTCTTGGGACTTCCATACATGCAGTATACATACAGACAAAGAGAAGATGAGGAACATTCACATTTGGTGTTACTCCACTCCAAAGAGTTGATCAGTTTCTGTTGTGGCAAATAAAGTGGGTCTCCATCTTCTCTTTTTAACTTGAACCTAAGACTGTCTTTTGCTTCTGTGTCCAGTTCAGACTACTTGATAACGCATAAAAAATACATGTCATCTTTCATGACTACAGGAAGCAATGTCCAGTGACGCCAAGGGAATTGTTCAGCAGCAGAAAAAGAAGATGCCACTGGATGAAATGATGCGTGAGACTCAGATCTTTATAGATAAAATTAGATTCTTGGTTGAAGAGGTAATCCACACAGAAATTCAGATAAATTTAAAATCCAGGGCTTGACTTTGATTTCCATTGTCCCATGTGAGTAATAAATTCTGGCCTGGTGATCTGGACCCAGTCCCATTTTGCATTGAATGGAGTTGTTATCAAACTGGATTAGGAAATGCTAGGCTATGTGGTATAGAGTGAATGCAATATAGAGACTTTTTTCTTCCTTTTTTTTTTTTCCTTTAAATAAAGTCATCCCATATGTGCCCTGGTGTGAGCTCAGGGGTCTCTATACTAAACTTCACTGTGCAGACACTGCTTAGACGTACTATTAAGCCTGAGAATAACAGCAGAATGGACATACTAACTCAGGCCAAAATCCAGCCAGTCAAGTGCTCGGGCAAATGCTATTTGGGGCAGGGTAAGGTCATGCCATGGAGCATCCTCACAAGCAGAATAGTTGATCATATGTCAGTGCTTGAGTTTGGCCCTGGTCTGTTTTGGTTTGCAGGTATAGATGGAGTTGGTGGTATTTTCATGGTAGGTACTTTCAGCTTATGCAGTCTGTGGGTAAGTTATTTCCTGAGACAGGAATCTGTACTCAGAGTTTTAGTTTTAGTTTCTCCTGAATTGATTTATGGGTGCTCCATAATCACTCTACTAAGTTCCTTACCTTCAGCTGTGTTTAGGTAGATTTGGAGATTTGAACTGCAAAGCATGAGGCGACAGCTTCTTTTATTCTGGGTGCACATCTACCACTGCACAGGAGCTGTGAGGGAATCAGCACTTGGTAGAGTGTTTTAAGAAAAAATAATGGTGATGGCTCATAGAAAAAAATCAGTTTTAGTTCAATATTCCTCATTATTTAACAGCCTCAGAACACGGTGCCTGATGTGTTCATCTGGATGCTCAGCAGCAACAAGAGAGTTGCATATGCCAGAGTCCCAGCAAAAAACATACTCTATTCCCCAGCGAAAGAGCAGAAAGGCAAGGACTGTGGGAAGATAAAAACCCATTTCCTGAAAGTAAGTCTGGGGCGCTCTGCATACACAGGTAATGCCAGGAAGCATTCAATATTCAAATTTCTTCCAGGGATTGTATTTTCCAGGCTCATCTTTGTATTCTACTAAAAATGTGTACATGCTTACATCCACCATCTATTAAAGTTTGCTTCTTACATTTATGCTTGTCCTTCTTTAAGCACTGTATTATTGCCAGGCTTTTGGTGTATAGATAATTCATTCTCCCACTACTTGCTGTGGCAAGTATATAGCATTGTTTATCTATAGTTTATATGCTCCTTTATTTTCTCTGGCTTGGTAGGACGCAGCATCCAGCCATCTCTCTTTCTTGAGTTTGTTGTTGATGTGTGGATTTTTTTCTTCAGTTACCAGGCAAGCGCCCGCTGGGCTGGACTGTGCAAGCTAAGATGGATGTCTACCTATGGCTTGGACCTGCCAGCTATGCCCACAGAATCATGGAGAACTTGCCTGCAGGATATGAGACTGAATTACCATCTAACACCAACTCAGGGCATGGTGTGGTGCCCTCACCTGCCTGCCTGCTGTATAGAAGTAAGCCATATTCTTCTCCATATATATGAAAGTAAGGCATATTCATTTCCATGAGCAATTAAGAGGGCTTCTAAGAAACGCATGGCCCCAGAAGTTCCAATTCAGAGGGTGGCACAATCTCTGTTTAAAGTAAGTGTTCCAAGATGATCACAGCTTAGCACCTTTTCATCAGCAAAGGCTGGTTTTGTTGCTGAGTCATCAGTCCACTTTGCATATTTAACGGGAAGAAAGGACCCATTGCCTTGCACTTTCTGCTCCCTGTCCCATGGGCCTGTCTCCTCATAATGAGGAGCATCTTTCAGTTCTCCTGATTAAGCTACCATGTTGAACACTTAGTAGATAAATCAGCAATGGGAGAGAAAAATCTGGCAGTTAACAACCTTGCAGTAAAGACTTGCATTGGAAACAACTTCTGTGTGTCTCAGGTGTTTCTTTAGTGAGACAGTGCTAGCAACAATTGCCCTTATCAGATCCTTGTTGGACAGTGGGTGGTGAATCTCCCCTTCTTACTTATATGCTGAATAATTTCCATGAAGCTGACATTACTATTTTATTTGCACTGATGTAGCCCCACACCTCTTCCAGCTGAGAGCCCACATGTACCAGGCGAGGGGGCTTATTGCTGCTGATAGCACGGGACTTTCTGATCCTTTTGCAAAGGTTACTTTCATGTCACACTGCCAGACCACAAAGGTAGGTTGCAAAGTCTCTTTCAGTAAATGAAAACACTTTTTTTTTTCCAGTTAAGCCATGAAAAGGAAAAGTTTTGGCTTTGCAAGCAGCTACCTAGCAGGAAAAGTTAGATACTTGCTATTAAAGAGCAACTCCTGGCAGTCCACTGCAAGCAAGGCAAAAGTTAGGTGTAACTTGCTACTGTAACGTGAAGTGCAGTAGTACTAGTTTATTTTAGTTTCTTCAGATGTCAGATTCTCTGGGGCTACTGGGCAAGTGAATTACCTTTCTCTGTCTTTTCATATATGTTTTAAGTTTGGGACCCCCCATGGTTCTCTTTTCGTATAATCTACGCATGCAATGAGTGAGCAAAGAGTGAAGAAGACATTTATATGGCTTCTGAAGCCATGCAACCGGTGTTGCTCTTTGCGATGGAATTTGGCAGTACACACGGATGGTTTTAGAGTGGCAAAGTTGAAATGAACTTAAAGAGTAGAGAGCTTTGAGACTTTCTGCACACCTTAAATGCTGCAAAAATGTGCCCATAGAGAGTGGTCTCACATCTCCTTCAGGCATTTCCAGGGGGCAAATGGTCTCCTGTGGGCATTTGATGCATCCTCTAGAGAGAAGGTGGAGCTTCTACACAGCTCCAGCAAGAAGGGTTGAAGCACAGACCTGGATGATGAGCAGGAGGAGGGTGCCTCACACAACACAAGGACTGACTTTCAGGAGTCCTGAACCCTCTACAGCCACCCTGGAATTAAAATGGGGCTGAGATTTCTGAAACCTGGGCCACAAGCAGAATTTGCTGAGCCAAAATACGGCTTCACTTCAGAAACAGTGTTTAACACCCTCCATCCAAACTCTCCCCAAAATGCTCCACAGAACACTATCTAAATTTAATTAGCAGATGCCTGCTCTTGAATACTCCTACTGAACTCAAGAGTGCTGTCTGTGTACGAAGGAGCTCATTGCCAGAGACCAGCAGCACAAGTGTAAAAAGGCATCTCAGCTCTGTGGTGCCTTGAGTTTGCTGACCATGCAAGAAGGAAAGACTCTGACATTTCCTGAACCATAATTGCTGAGCTTCTGAAATTCCTCTGGCACCTTCTTCTCTTAGGAAGCGAGTTCTGTAGTGTGTGTCTAAGAGAGCAAGAAGGAAAAACTTTTCTCTGCTGTAAGTCATAGGTAATGGTGCTGCTTTTGCCTCAGGGATACGAATTGATTTTTTCCTGTAATGTGATTTTAACTTCTAATAAAAGTTGGGGAATGAAGCCCATAAAGGTAGTTAGTTTAGATGCACCAGACTCAGGAAAGTAGAATTTGACCCAGGAAAAATAGCATTTTATAGGCACAGAAGTGTTAGGTTTATTCACTCTCTGAATAAAATATTGCAGCCAATAACTTGCTTGTTTTTAGAAGACTGTCAGCCAAGTGCCAATAAACTTTAGTCAAGAACCTTATTTCCATCTGAAAGAATGATAGCAGGTTATGAGTAGTTTTGCAGTTGGCATATTTTCCTCTTTAAATGTTATATTTTTAAAATATATTTCCTACCAAGACAGTTAAATCATTGTCTATGGTGAAATTATGTCTATGGCATAAGCATCCACATAAGCCAAATTACAATTTAAAAACTATTGATTTATTATGAGTGATTCATGTAAATATATATATTTTTTTTTCAATAAAGTGTTACATGTCATTGCACTGATGTAAAAATAAGATTGAAA